CGGGGGAGAGATGAAGTGCGCAGGCTGGGAAACGCGTGATTTCATTTCTCGATTTATGCGTGTTATCTATGCGCAGGGGCCATGCTAATCTTCTTTCTCTGTATCGTTCCAATCTTGACGGATGTTCCGAAGGACGAAACGGGTCGTTTCAGATAAACGGTGAAACACCCTTTTTTTTCCAAGGCAAAACACCGTTTTCAATCGGATTCCGTAGAAATTGTTGCCTCCTGCTGAATTCCGAAGGAGTGATTTAATGTGTGTGTGTGTTTGTTTGTTTGTGTGTGTGTGTGTGTGTGTGTGTGTGTGTGTGTGTGTGTGTGTGTGTGTGTGCGCGCGCGCGCGCGTCTGTGGGTAATGTTTCTGTAACCTAAGACTCCAGTAAATTAGGTCACCGTCTGTGTGTGTGTGTGTGTGTGTGTGTGTGAGAGAGAGAGAGAGAGAGAGAGAGAGAGAGAGAGAGAGAGAGAGCCAGTGACTCTTTCTCTCTTTCTCTCTTTCTCTCTCGTGCGCTCTCTCTCTCTCTCTCTCTCTCTCTCTCTCTCATCCGTGCGCAGCCTCACCAAAAGTGTAAAATGAGAATGAATCTTCCGTGCAAAGGTGGGAACATGCATTCTCATTTTGTAAATTCTTTCGTCGACGCCGCACGCCCCCCCCCTCTCTCTGTGTCTGTGTCTTGCGCCCGCACGCCCTCTCTCTCTCTCTCTCTGTGTCTGTGTCTCGGCTCCACGGCCTATTATCGCCATCCGATTTGTTAGTGTGTTTTTCGTTTTTATTTTTATTTTTATTTTTATAAATGGTATGCATGTTTTTGTTTTTGTTTTTGTTTTGTCTTTTATTCAGTGCTATTTCTCTCTCTGACCGGGGGCGAGGTCCCATTTGCACGGATTAGGACATTTGGGCCGTTGATCTCGGCTATCAACGGTCTCTATCTCTTAATTCGTGCAAGTGGGACCTAGGGCCGGTCCTTCCACGCGGCTGCCTCAGCCTTGCAGCAAAATAACTTGTAGCCACAAGCAGTAAAAGGCGGGCGCCAGGACCTTGTCCCACATGCACCCTTTAGTGGACCTAGCTCAACGGTGTGACGGCTGAAACTGTTTTTTTTTAATTTCATTTCAAATTCAGAAATGCATTAAAAAATCTGCCTAAGATACAGTTCATTCTTCTTTTTTTTTTTTTTTTCCACAATTGGAGTGGCATACGTGACGTCCGAAGAGTCGCTCCGATCCTATGAACAGTTGCCCTATTCGCCCGTGGACCTAGCTCAACGGTGTGACGGCTGAAACTGTTTTTTTTTATTTCATTTCAAATTCAGAAATGCATTAAAAAATCCACCTAAGATACAGTTCATTCTTCTTTTTTTTTTTTTTCACAATTGGAGTGGCTTACGTGACGTCCGAAGAGTCGCTCCGATCCTATGAACAGTTGCCCTATTCGCCCTATTCCCGTAGTTGACGCATATGTGGTCCTTCAAGGTCGCACCCCATTAGCAGTGGAATAGGAGTGTGGCCGATCCAGTGTGACACTGAGTGGCAGCGGCCGGACAGGTTCATTACGAATTTCTGGGCTGAGAAAACAGGAGAAAGGCAAAAAAAAAAAAAAAGAAACAGAGACCTCCCACCGGAAATCACGGCAGAGTGCTTCCCAGCCATCAGATCACAAATGATCTGATGGTGGTGGTTGCAACAACAGTGAACAAAGTAACCTTCACATTTTCTGTCAGCACTGATCCTGACACCCTCCATATACTCCGTGATTGAAGGAGGGCTCCACCCAATGAGATAATTGCACAACAGCAAGTAAATACTGAAAATCTTCTATCCAGTGGGCCTAAGGCCAACCCCACCCTCCTTTGGGGTTGGCCACACCCCCAACCGATTGAAAAGATTGTGGCGGGAAGCTTTCTTTGCACGGGCATGCCCAGTGTTAAGGAGAGGAGGAGGGGAATGAAGATCTCCTTACTTTTTGGGGTAATACATGTAATCACGAGTACTGCATGGCAGGATTCGGGTCACTCAACTGCCCCACAAACTTGTTTCTATCCTATCCCGTTGCTAGTGGGACCTCGCCCCCGTAGTTCATGCATCTTCTGTCCTTCAAAAGTCGCACGAAAATAGCGAAGTACAAACGAATTCACAGATTTCTAAAAACATAATAAAATAACACGTTAAAAAAAAAAAAAACTCCAGAAAGGATGCCAAAAACTCCAGAAAGGATGCCAGCGGTCGTTGAACTGGCTGTCTCCAAAAAAGGAGACAGCTAGCTCAATGGAAAGTGGTGAGGGTAGGGGGCGTAGCATTCGAGAAAACGTCATTTTTGGAACTATTTTGTTGGAATAAGAAATGCGATAATATCTATTCTCTTTTCAAAAAAGAGAGGACCACGGGATGATTGCTAGGGCGTGCATCTCCTTCGTCACCTACAGTCGCACAGCGAACGTGGACCTAGCTCAACGGACGAAATGGGACAAGGTCCCGGGGACCTTGGGGACCTTGTCCCACCTAGTACACCGTTGAGCTAGGTCCACGTTTAGTTTTCGTCGCCGTGTGGCTGTAGGCGACGAAGGAGATGCGCGCCCTCGCGATCATCCAGCGGTCTCCGCTCTTTTTTTAATTGTGAATACATTTTATCGCATTTTTTCTTCCGACAAAATACATCCAAAAATGATGTTTTCTAGAATGCAATGCCCCCTACCCTCGCCGCTTTCCTTTGAGCTAGCTGTCTCCTTTTTTGGAGACGGGCAGTTCAACGACCGTTGGCGTGCTTTTGGAGTTTTTTTTTTTAGGGAAAATTTTCGAAATGCCGCTGAAGTTTGCGTTTATTTGCGGTGTGCCCCTCTGACGGCCGACCTACCTTGTCGCGCCCCTCCGATGACCAATGATGTTTCCAGAAAACCCCTGGCATCGTTTGGGCCTCAAACATGTTTCATATGCCCCTACCGGTACCAAATTTTCAGTATGCCCCTACCGGCTGCCTGTTGAGAACCACCGGAAAAGTTTCCCATATGCCCTTACTGGTACCATCCATTTTTCCAGCAAGCCCGTCGCCCTTGTTGACACTCGCAGTCCATACGAGGGAAGAGGAGGGAAGAGGAGGGAAGAGGGGGGAAGAGGAGTAGGGAGGACAAGGACTAGGACGATGACGGACGAGGGAGGAACGAGGGAAAAGGAGGGAAGAGGAGTAGGGAGGGCATTTGATTCGTCATCATATACCACCTGTCCAACAAACGAGTAGACGAAAAGATGACACACACACACACACACACACACACACACACACA